TGATATACCATAATCAGTGATGGGAATAAGGTGGATTAATGGAATGAGGTACACAAGTAAACAGTTATGTACCTAACTGACAATGTTCCAGATGTGCACCTACTCCTTCAAGCTCATTTCCATCACTATACAGGATACTAAGGATATAAACAGTAGACCGTTATTTAACACGGTAGTTACGTTCCTGAAAATGGCTCGTTAGGTAAAAATCATGTAAGATGAACCGGAGAACTTATGGGAAAAATAGTGTTACATTCCATGGAGCCCCAAAAAAGCCAAACAACTTTTTTTTAGGCCTCCACATCTTACAAAAATAAAAGTGAATATGGAATTGTAGTTCATTGTTGTGATGTATTATGCTGTTTTTACTGGTTAAGACTACAAATGTAAGAGAAATAATAGTATTTCTTACCTTAAACTGTGGGTGCTGGTGTTTGTGGATGATTGTAAAGAGAGTGGAGTTATACTGTGGCCCTACTGGGCTGAGGTGGATGGTAGAGGTTCTGGTACTGAAGTCAATGGTTGTACTGGAGTGTTTAAGCCAGTCAGTCAGTCACTCAAGCCAGTAAGTCATTCAGTCAGTCAGTCAAGGCATTCAGTCAGTCAAGTCAGTAATACTAATGTGTACGCATTTTCTTTTGTGTTGAACTAGAGAAAACGTTGTTCTTTCCAACACTCCGACAAGACAACTGTAAAAGCATCTCATATTTGTGTTAATTTATTCTACTTTGGGTGTATTTATCACGTTTATATATTACTTAGCATTTTTATTATATAATTTTGAAAAAATAAAATAGATGGATTAATGAATATGTTTAGATTAACGTAATTTTTTTTTTTATCACACTGGCCGATTCCCACCAAGGCCCAGGGGGGGCCCAAAAAAAAAAAAAGAAAATTTTTTGTAATGTAGACATTTAATGGCCTCGGGAGTGATTTTTTATTGTGTTTTTAAATCATTTTTAAATATGGCCCCTTTAAAGTTTTAAAGACACTCTTAGTGATTTTAACCCTTTCGGGTCCGTCCCGTAGTTTAAAGGCCCTGGTCGGTGAGTTTTCCAAAACCCGTAGATTTTTCCCCAAAAATTCTAGCGCCATAAATTTTAGCGGGAAAGGTCATAGGCCTACATATGAGAGAATGGGTTGGCCGGGGGGTTGTGCGCCATAAAAAAAAAAATTAGGCGCCTAAATGGGCATTGTGGGAAACCCCGGCTCAGTCCCCTTGTTCCCCCATGTCTCGTGAAGGGTCAGCTCCCCACCCCCGGAAAAAAAATTGGGGATTTCTCCTTTCCTATCTGATAGTTCGGGACACTGTTGGAGTGGAAATAAAGGGCCAAATTTAAACGGTTTTTGATCGTTAGTGACCGAAAATAATGACCGCTTTATCGATAATAGGGCAGAAACCCCGACGATCCTCGCCTTCTCCCTCTGGGGTGGGCACTCGTGACTCAGGGTGGGGTGTTCCTAAACGTAAGAGAAAAAAATATTTTCCCGGGGCCTGGCCTTAAACTTCAGTAATGACGAGGGATTCTGTGTGGATTGTAAATTTTTTTGCGCCGCCCGTTTCATTCGAGTGTGATAGTGGGGAAAAACATTTTCCCCGTGAAGCGTCGGTATGTTCCCCCGCCGCATGGCTGGGGTAGTGTACCCTTTGCTGTGCCCAGGGGAGGGGATTTCACCCCGGATTTAATCCCGGGGGTAATCCCGTGGCCCTACACCCGTTTTAAAGGTATTGATTTGAGGATGATGGGGCTAACTTGGAAAGGGGGGCCCAAAGACAATAGTGGATGGGTTAGTGGGGCTGGTGGGGGGTTTAGTGGCACCGCCATGCGTGACCGCTGTGAAACGTGGGAACCCACGCTGGGACTGTCGTTCGGGGGAAAAGCGGAGCTTTCACCCCCAGCCCGCCACAACCCCCTTTACAACCAGCCTTGTGTCCCGTATCCACCAGCAAACCGTATCTGGGGTTGGCAGCAAAATCCCAATTTTGTTCCCCGGCCCCCACCACTTTGAGGGCTCGCAAATGGGGTTTTTTTCCTACCCGTTCCCCCTTTGGGAAAAAAAGGCCAATGAAAATGGGAAATTTTTTTGAATTATTTTTTTGACCCAAAACCAAATTTATGGGAAAAAAATTGTCAGGGGAAAATAAAAAGTTTTTTCGTTTCACCATGGCAAATACGATTTATCACCACAGTCAAGGGCTACACAGGTTGGGAAAAGACGACCCCTGTTTCGAAATGTATTTGCTTTTTTGCAAAATAATGCTTTTTGGGTCCGTCTAAAAGCTTTAAAATTTTAAAAACATAGGGGCCCAGATCGGCTAAATTTTTACCCCTCCTTTAGTGAATAATTTCCGTGAACAGGTTTTTTCTTTTAAAATGGTTACGTATGTTGCATTCTTGAAAAAAAACCCCGGCCCGACAGAAGTGACGGTTATACAAAATTAGGGAAAAATTTTTTTTTTATTCAAACAAAAGTTCAGGGATCTTTTTATCCCCCTTCAAGAATCTTGTTAAATTTACGAGTCTTTGATTTTGTTCAAAGGGGTTGGGCTGTCAATTTTTAAACAGTATATACCCGAGGAAGAGGAAAAACCCCTTGGTTTTTAAATTGTTTGAAATCTGTGTTGTGACAGTGGGTGGTGTTTGGGGTATTGTTTATCAGGGGAGGGAAAACTTGAAAGATACCAAGATGTTATTGGGTATATCATGTGAACTAGTGGGGAAAATGATGGCACCTTTTCTTGGGTTTGGGCCCTAAAATTTTTTATACCCATAAATGGTACACAAAACCCCCTTTTCAGTGTTTTATGCGAGTGAACAAGAAAAGATGTTTTGTGGCACAGTGCGTTCTAATCGTAAACATATGCCCCCGGGTCAACGAGGTGTTCGTGGTGATGACGTGCAGGTTTTTTATTTCCAAAGACATCATGGCAAATTTCGGTGGGGATGACAAAAAAGATTTCACATTGTTTAAACCATTTACCGTAATTTAAATGCAAAACAGTGGCCCAAAATTGATCGAGTGATAATGAACGTATTCGAAAAAAACCCGGACAGTGGGTTGGGTTATACACAAAAACATTCCCCTTGGTTGACAAATGTGAATGGCCCGATTGGTTTTTTTTGGCCCGTTTTTCGTAAAAGTTACAAGTGGTAATGAAACTTTTCTTCCTTCCATGGCATTTCAATGCTGAAGGGATATAATTGTACCAAAAAAAGACTGGTAAAAGGGCCCCCCGTTATGGTGAATTTTGTTTGTCGTTGTCAGGCAAATAAGAAAGGCCGGGGAACAAAACCCCGCAATACAAAAATGGTCCCCGAATTCTTTTACCCCTATACCCAAGCGGTTTTTTAGGAAAGAAAGGTTTATCCCCTTTCTAATACAGCCCTTTCCCTTTAACTCAAAAAAAATTTGGTCGGAGAGAGCATTGTTTTGGCAAAACAAAACGGGCGGGAAAAAGGCAAAGAATGGTTTATGTGTGAGGAATTTTAAAGGGGCCCCCTTTTGCATGGTGCCTTGTTTCAAGGAGTTCCACAAGCTCCAGCAGTTCTAAAACCATGTCCAGTGATTGTAAATATGTAAATATATGATAGAACATTAGTATTATACAATATTTGTGCATGTTTATTGTAATAAACAACAGTGGTAAACAATAATATGATAATAACTTTAGTGCGGTTATTGTGTTCAATACAGTGAGTTTATATATATACATTATATACAGTATTGGTCTCTCACGCCCCAAATGTTAGTAGGAATAGAAAAAAATTGGAAAAGAAAAGAAAAAAACAACTAAAACAACAAAATAATATAATACGCGTATGTGGAATTCGTCGATGTTGCCGCCACCACATCATTTTCTACAAACTTCTTGGCACTGTATCTCGGTAAGTACTGATCAGATTCTAATTTTTTTTGTTTTATTACCTTCACAAAAATATGCTCTTTAATTCTGTAAGAAAAAATAATTTTTTTTTTTTTCAAAATTTCTTGGACACTGGTGCGTGACTTCAGATTTTGGCCTTGGACCCTGAAAGGGTTAATGTGTACCTGCACACCAACACAGTATGTAAGTTTATTTAGGTACAGGTACACATAAGTATAATTATCAAAGTACGTACAGTGGTACCTCGGGATACGAACTTAATATGCTCCAGAAGGCTGTAAATTAAGTTAATCCATTTCAGACCCCCAACAATACACCTACAAAAGCACTTACATAAATATACTTACATAATTGTTCGAGTTGTCAGCTGTTCATATCCTGAGGTACCACTGTACATAAAATATGAAATAACTTGAAAACGCTTGCAATATTGGAAAGTTTCTAGACATAATGGAGAGTTGTACTCACAGAGAATGCAAACAAACCAGGTGGGGTGTGGTGACCGTATTAGAAAGTCAGGTGGGGGGAGTCGTATAAAGAATTTTGGTCATCTGAAATGTCTGTACAGTGGACCCCCGGTTAACGAACTTTTTTCATTCCAGTAGTATGTTCAGGTGCCAGTACTGACTGAATTTTTTCCCATAAGGAATATTGTGAAGTAGATTAGTCCATTTCAGACCCCCAATCATACACGTACAAACGCACTTACATAAATACACTTACATAATTGGTCGCATTTGGAGGTGATCGTTAAGCGGGGGTCCACTGTATTTGTGGAACGCCATAAGGTGAAACGCTGTAAAGTGTTTCACCTTACTGGCAAATAGTTTACCACATTCAATGAGCTAACATTAAAAATGTGCTAACATTAAAAATATTCATACAATATTCCTCCATTTTTTCAATAGTAAAAGGTGTAATTTTTTAATCAGACAATATATACAGCCTAACAAATAAAGAATTCATTAGACACATTCATGTTGGATCTTTATTATTAATAATCATGGGGAAGTGTTTAACCCATAGGGACCACACAGTGCCTGGGAAATGACTAGTCTTCAAATCTGACTCTTAAGTTAGTTGTGCAACTTGATATCTTGCTTATGCTCACCTGCAGCCTTGACAACCCAAGGAGCCGGCAGTGACTCTGCCAGTACAGTGTCACAGTTATAAAGGGAAAGACCACTGCACACTGCAACTTCTTGAGTATCCAAAACCCCCAGCAAGAAATCCACTGTCACCCACTCATCATCCGCCAGTAACGATAAGTATGGTAAATCATGAAGGACTGTCTGTTGAAAAAAAGTATGCATATAAAAGTAAAAAAAAATAAAAAAATAATTTTTCCAAGAAGGAACGACTGAACTATAAAGATTGTCTTGCATTTGTAATTATTAATGCAGAAAAACCCACAGTTATGCAAAATATTTTGGGCAGACAAACTACAACATAAAATTACATGTTTGGTAAAAGGACATAGGTGCAACCACTGTGACATTCTATTGTGGCAATGTTTTGCTCTCTAGGAGCTTTGTCAAGCCATGACAAAGCTCCTTGTGTCCTTTTACATAACATATTGACAGTAATTCTATCAACATTATTGCACAAAATTACTTCATACTGATTAGTTGAAGATAAATTATGTAAATGCAAGGTTTATCATATTTAAGTTTTCTGAAAACAAAATTACCAAAGATGATGATTGTTTTGAGCAGTAAAACTCTACATGTATTTAAAACAACACTTTAAATATGAAGGGACAGTAACATATAAAAAGAAGTACTGACAATTGCAGAATTTTTTTTTTCTGGAAGGGGGGGGGGGAAGGTTCACAATTTAAATAATAATATATTTTGGGGCAGAAATATAGTAGAGACAGAGTGAATAGGAATGAGGGCTGATCAGAACCCAGATAGGCAGGTACATTTGGCATTTATATTCAGCATTTATGTAAACTTTATAAATTATAATAATTTCATGAGGTGCTTTTTGATGACGATTTTGAAACAGTTGGTAAACAGAGAACTTTTAGAACCATCTGGTAGAATGTTCCATGTTTATGGGCATTTTTATGGGCATGAAGTTTACATTTAGGTTGAGTCAAATATGTAGGATACTGAAGAGAAATTTGTTGCTTATATTGCATCAATGTGGTCTGTTGCAGCTCCCTATGAGCTTGAAAACTGCTTTCATATTTGTCTTGAGTGTCTATATATATATAGTATGCAAAGTAGTGTGATTATTTTGTATACTTAGTACATTATAACTTTTGAATAGTGGGGGTCTCCAAGGGAAAAGTGGAAAAAATTATTCCTCCGTAAGCCGTGCGTGATGAATGGTTTTGAAAACCGACAAGTTGAAGATTGAGACACTTATGCAACATATGGGAATCTTTATAAAGATTCCCAAATGCATGTTGAAAGAGGCAACTAAAATGTCAGGAGCAAGGGGCTAGTAACTCTTTCTCCTGCACAAAAAAATTTCAAAAGGAAAGCTTTTTTCTTTTTTAGGTCACCCTGTCACGGTGGGATACGGCCAGCTCGTTGCAAAAAACAAATAATAATAGGGGGGGGTGGTAGGTAGGTAGGTAGGTAGGTAGGTAGGTAGGTAGGTAGGTAGGTAGGTAGGTAGGTAGGTAGGTAGGTAGGTAGGTAGGTAGGTAGGTAGGTAGGTGTGTGTGTGTGTGTGTTTGTGTGTGTGTGGGGGGCGGTGCGCGCATGCGTGTACTCACCTACCTGAGGTTGCAGGGGTCGAGTCCAAGCTCCTGGCTTTGCCTCTTCACTGGTTGCTACTAGGTCACTCTCCCTGAACTGTGAGCTTTATCATACCTCTGCTTAAAGCTATGTATGGATTCTGCCTCCACTACATCGCTTCCCAAACTATTCCACTTCCTGACTACTCTGTGGCTGAAGAAATACTTCCTAACATCCCTGAAGAAATACTGTGTGTGTGTGTGTGTGTGTGTGTGTGTGTGTGTGTGTGTGTGTGTGTGTGTGTGTGTGTGTGTGTGTTTGTTGTTGTACCCTGATTGCATCATCAATCTAACAACATACGTATTATTGTTGAGTTACAATCTAACAACACATCATTAACCCTTTCAGGGTCGACAGGCTCTCTCAAAAACTTGTACTCAGGGTTGCCCAAATTTCAAAAAAAAAAAAAAAAAATCTTATGAAAAGATATAGAATCTTTTTCCGATCATAATGACGCTAGAAGTATGAAATTTGATGGAAAACTTACGGAATTATGCTCTCGCGAAGTTAGCGGTCTCAACTATGTTTACACATCGGCGATTTTGCCCACTTTGAGCCCTATTTTCAGCCAATTCCACTGTATTAGTCGACAAAAATCATTAATATTTCGCTAGAACTCCATTTGTTCTATCGAATGAGTGCAAGAAACCACCCATTTACCGATTTCAACTATCCAATACAGTGGTCAGAATTTAGCAATTTTGCCAATTTCACACAAATTTCAAAAGATGCCAATTTCCAAATAGGGTCCAGAATGAACAATAAAGACATTCCTGGCACTAAAATGACATTTCCTCTGTTCATTAGTCACATCCCAACACCCCTCTTACATTCTTTTGCTTTCCACTTTGAATTTTTATTCTCACAAAAAATAGAAGATTTACTGTTATGCAGACTACTGCATTAGTGTAAAAAAGTGGTATAAATAATATCGGAGCACTTGTGAAAGAATATTAGACTCACCAGTTGACGTGTATTGGACCCTTAGCATGATTTTACTTTTGAACTTTGGTAAAAATCGAACATTTCTGCTACTTTGAGCTCAATTTCAAGGTACTTTTCACTGTAAAATCAGTCAAAATTATCTCAATTTCTGTAATATGTCTTCCATTCTATAGAATGAGACCAGGAAAACTAGAATACAACAATAAATACCATACAAAATTATAGTGCAAAGTCGCTTTCAAGGTCCATCCCGTAGATCTACGGCTTTATGTTCAGGGTCCAAACTGTAGATCTATGCCAAAATTCTAGCGGCGTCAAATTTAGTGAGAGAAGGCTGGTAGCCCTACATCTGAGAGAATGGGTCTGGGTGGTCAGTGTGCACACCATATAAAAAATCTGGACGCCCGTATGGCATTGTGGGAACGCCGGCAAAGTAGCTTTGTTCATTGTGCCTGGCGGCAAGGAAGTTCTCACTCCCCACTCACTCTCCGGGCGAATTCTGACTCGCCTCTTCACAACTTACAGTTCTAAGACTGATGGAAGTGAAGCTGAAGACGAATTCTATGGTTTTGAACCATATGGTACCATTGTGCCATATGGTACAATGGTACCATATGGTACAATGGTGCCATGTCATACAATGGTATCATATGGTACAATGGTATATGGTACAATGGTACCATATGGTACAATGTACCATATAGTACATTGTACCATATGGTACATTGTACCATGTGGTACATTATACCATATGGTACAGGGTACAGGGACCCTAATGGAAATAAGTCTGACTTTTTTGGGTTATCCTAGGTTCTCAAAATATATGCTGCTAAGTATGATATTCTATGTAACTTTATTTGTGTATAACTAAATAAACTTACTTATGATGCCACATGCACTTGAGTAAGTTTATTCAGGTGTACTGAAATACAATTACATAGATTATCATACATAGCAGCATACATATAAAATCCTAGGATAACCCAAAAAAGTCAGGGTGACTTATTTCCATAGTTATCCCTGTATCTGTACCATATGGTGTCCTGTACTGTATGGTACCCTGTGCCATATGGTACCCTGTGCCATATGGTACCTTAATATGGTACCTGTACCATATGGTACCCTGTACCATATGGTACCCTGTACCATATGGTATCCTGCACCATATGGTATCCTGCACCATATGTTATCCTGTACTGCATGGTACCCTATATCATATAGTACAATGTACCATATGGTACCCTGTAACATATGATACCGTGTACCATATGGTCAATAGGTGTTGGTGGCATGAGACACCAGCCAAGACTGACTGAGTGGCGATGCAAGCTAGCTACTGACTCCACAGTTTCCGAGACAAAGTGCTTTGTCATCCACCTCAAGGAACACGTCAAGTTCCTGTACACTTGTAAATATATAATAGAACATTACTAATATACAACATTTTTGCATATTTTTGGTGTAAACAACTATTGTAAACAAAATAATAATGAAAATATTAGTGTATTTATTGTGTTGAATGCAACAGTACCATATGGTACAATACCATACAATAGTACCATACAGTACAATAATACCATATGGTATTATTGTACTGCATGGTACAATGTACCATATGGTACCATTGCATCATATGGTACCATATGGTACCATTACACCATATGGTACCATAAGGTACCATTGCACCATATGGTACCATTGTATCATATGGTACCATTGTACCAAATGGTGCCAATGTACCATATGGTGCCATTGTATCATATGGTACCATTGTATCATGTGCCATTGTACCATATTGTACCATTGTATCATAGGGTGCCATTGTACCATATGGTACAATTGCACCCTATGGCACCATTGTACCATATAGTACTATATGGTACCGTTGTATTCAGCACAATAACTGCACTAATATTTTCATCATTTTGTTTACAATAAACTTGTAAACAAGTTTTGTAAGCAATATAATAATAAACAAATTAGTGCAGTTATTGTGTTGAATACAATGAGTGTACACTTATACAATATACATTATACTGGTCTCACAGGCCACAAATGTTATCAGAAAAAGCAAAAAAATTAGAAAAGAAAAGAAAAAAGCAAAAAAAGCGTAAAATAAAAAAATGGGATTTTGAGGAAGTCACTGATGTTGCCGCCACCCAGTCATTTTGGGTCAACTTCCCACCACTGCATCTCGGTAAGTACTGATCAGAAAATTTTTTTTGTCTTATTACCTTCACAAAAATATACTCTTTAATTCTATAAGAAAAAAAATTTTTTTTTTTTTTTTTCAAAATTTCTTGGACACTGGAGCACCACTTCAGATTTTGGCCTTGGACCCTGAAGGATCGGATCGGATCGGATCGAGGACGACGAGAGCTGTCGTAAGATGGGAAGGAAAAAGGATAAGGAAGGATGGAAATAACTGGAAAAGGATGGGGAGGAGGGGAAGAGGAGGAATCAAGGCAAGTGGCGCAACCACTTTGGGACATGTGGTACAAAAGTACTGGAGACACAGATAGAGAGGCTTGACTGATGTCATTGCTTGGCTCACTAGGAGAGGATGGCGAAGGCAGCGGTAGGAGCTGGGAGTGTCAGAAGGAAGCATGCAGGATGAGTTGGTTATGGTCTTAAACCGTTTATCAGT